GTGCGTATTTTCGTAAATGCTAACCAAGTGTTATGTTAAAGGATTGATTTAATATAAGTGTTCACTTGTCATGTGTCTTCAAAATGTGATTTTAATTTGTGTGTATCACTCATTATAGAGATGGGTCATTCTAAAGTCACTGTATTATGTTAAGCTTCAATGCACCCATACATGTTGATTCGTGTTCGAGTGTATTACAAAGTATTAAGTGTGTACCCATACATATCCCATGTTCGGATGTATTGGGGACCGATAAGTATATGCATATCCAAAAATGTTGTAGGAAAATGTGATTGGTTCACAATAATAGTGATGAAGTTTAGCCTATTGTACAATTTAACAGTGTGAATCTGTTTTTTGGTTTGAATATCTATTTTCTAAAAGTGTATAAGATATGTGTCCGTTGTGTGTGAAACCTCTATATGCTGCATGTACTATACTGTAATTTCATAATATCAGGTTAGTTCTCAACTCTCCTTCTTATAATATGTCACTTTGCTTTTTTATAAATAAACTTTTAATGTTATGGATAGACTAATTAGACATTTTTTGTAAGGACTAAGGATGGTGATTCTAGAGGGTTTATGTTTGTTAGCTGGGATTCCATTTGTAATCCTAAACAAGCTAATGGATTAGCTTTTTGATATTTAACACATTTATACTATGGTTTTGTAGCTAAGCTAACTTAGCAAGTGGTAAAAACCTTGGGTTAATATGGTGAGAGCTAAATACATTGGCAACTTTATGGAGTTGTCTAGAAAGTCTTCGGGTTCCTACTTCTGGAAGGGTATTTTAGAAAACAAAAAATCTTACATATACCGGGGTTTGTAAACTCATAAGTGATATCACTAACACAACAATCTGGGAAGATCTTTGGATACCTTTTCTTGAAGCTTTTGTTTTCTAGTTTGCAGCGAAGCCTAATTGTATCGTGGTTAATCAGTTAATTGATAAATCAACTTGGCAATGGCATCATGGCCCAAGAAACAATATAAGAAATCTTGAAAATCAAATTGTCAAGAATCTAGGTGGAGGATAAATGAATTTGAATTTATTTAAGCAACGGTAATTACTCAACTAAGTCAAGATATAAAATTCTTCATCTCCAAAAAAAATCAAGATATAAAATTCTAACTATACCTATTTTAATGCCTAACATAAGACCAGAAGAAGATCAATTGAAACTTTTATGAAAAGCCAAAATTTTAGAAAGGCGTAGTTTTATAGTGACGAATTCTTAAAAAGAGTCTACTTACATCATAGTAATAATCTCACATTTATCATTTCATGCATTTTATTTTGCTAATAGTAAGAGTTATGATCATATTTTTGTACATTGTCATGTTATTAGAAATATTGTGGTTTACATCTCCATGAAATTTATGACTAAATTGTTTATTAAGAATATTTTGCATAATAATTCATTTACGTCTCCCTCTAAATATGTCTCCATATATATATATATATATATATATATATATATATATATATATCTTGTTTCCAGATTTGGGAATTCAAAATATGTGATTCTAGCAGGGGTACCAATTTGAAATATATTATATCATGAGTCACGATTTGGTCAAAACCATAATTGGAGGTCCTAAATAAAGGTTCCTAGAAAAATTCCCTTCAACAAAGAAACTAAAAAGGAAAGAAGGAGAATCACGTTTCTAAGAATCTCGCGGTCCGCTCTTCCCTTTTCTCACAATTTTAGATCCTCCAGTTTTCCTCCGAAGTTTTCAACAGGTAAAAGTGCTCTCCATACACTTCATAATCTGTTATCTAATAGTCTTAATATCAGATCTTCTTCCTTCATCAACAGGTATCCATCCGGATTTATCTATGATCTATAACGTGTATAATATCTCCTTTTGAGCATTATTCAGTGGATCCGTTTAACCTGTTCTTGTATTTTTCTGAAACTTTTATTTGCACAGTTGTTTTTATGTAAGATCAGTGTTTTCTTGAAATTGAAAGTGGATTTAGGATTTGTTTCCTGACTTAATTAGTTCTCCATTTTTTTCTCTTATTGTTTTGAGCAGGTGTTCGATTTATTGATATATGTTCGTCTTTTGCGTTCTGTTTATTGATTTTTTTGGGAGGGTTTTACATTTGTTTTGTTTTTCCTGATATGGAAATGTATATTTGCAATGATGATTTGTGTTTCCCGTATTTATTAGTGGATTTTTGTTGTGGGAATATACTTTTAGCTTTTGGTTGATGATTTTCATGTTGCCTTTTGATTTGATTTGTGAATATGGTGGTTAATCCAGAGCAAGCTACAGGGAGTCAGTCATGGGGCTGACATTCACGAAGCTATTTAGCCGGCTTTTTGCAAAGAAGGAAATGCGTATTCTGATGGTTGGTCTGGATGCTGCTGGTAAGACCACCATTTTGTACAAGCTGAAGCTTGGTGAAATTGTCACCACGATCCCTACCATAGGTGACTCCTCCATCCACTTCAAGAGAAAGTTTTTTTCTATTCTCTGTTGTGTAGATTATTTTAATGGTTTGCGTGATTTTAATTTGTTTGCTTCTTATATCGACTTCTATCTCTGAATCGCTCTCCGAGTCTTCATTTAGATGGCACATCTTTTTTTTTTCTAATTTTTTTTGGGGTAGACTGCATTTTAAAACCGGCTATCATAATTTTAGTTCTTACCTGTACCAAAAACTGTGGGTACCATCTCTTCTCTTGTACCATATTCCCATAGATCATTTTCCTGGGAGCCTCTATGTTAGAGGTGTTATAGAAGTTAAAAGGACATTGCAAATGACTGGTGGCTGAAGTAATAAATGGTTATGTACATTATTGATTTAGAAAATAGCATGGAAAAAATGTGATATGCTAGCAAATCTTTAAGGGTTTTGTCTTTAGTATGGTAAATTCTTCAAATTCCTTCTTTTTGTCAGTGAATGCTTTAGGAAATGTTATTTGTTCTTCCGAGTTGGTGAGAGCGTTATGATTTTCTCAAATCTTAACAGTTCAATATCATACCGATACAAAGTGTCACAGATTATAGTTTAATGTGCAAGGAACCTCTTTTGCAGGATTTAATGTGGAGACAGTTGAATACAAGAATATCAGCTTCACTGTTTGGGATGTGGGTGGTCAAGATAAGGTACACATTTCTTTGAGAAAGCTCTTTTTCACTCTATTGGTAAATTTTGAACCTTAAATATCCTAAATCAGTTATACACCCAGTATTTTTGAAGATTTATGGACATAAATACAAAGTAATAAGGACATGTTTTAGTTGGGAAAATATACAGTGCTGAAATTAATCGGAAGTCCCATGACAAACTCTTCAGTTATAAGGACAAGTTGGAATTGCAAAAATAAGTATGGTGCTGAAATAAATTAGAAGTTCCAGGATAAGTCTTTTAATTATTATGTGATACTGACATCAATGTTCTATCAATGATAAATTGACATTTTTTTCACATTCTAGTTAATGCATTTGTTCATTTTTAATTACGTTTGATGGCTGTTATGATGCCATGAATACATAAGCCATATCTTTCACATTTTTTATTCTTATTTTTATTTGGGCTCATTCGAGTAACCAATGTTTGGTTTTTGTAAATCAGATCCGCCCATTGTGGAGGCACTATTTTCAGAACACTCAAGGTCTTATTTTTGTGGTGGACAGCAATGATAGGGACCGTATTGTTGAGGCGAGGGATGAGTTGCATCGTATGTTGAACGAGGTTTGTGATCAATTTCTGTCTGTATTTTTCGCTATGCATGTTACATACTGAATTGCTATCTGCCGATTGCTCCTGTTTGATTTGATATCACTGCATTTTTTGTTTTACTGCTATTTTTTATTTACACCATTTTCCATCCCCTATGTTTCTGGAGTATAATTCTTAGAAGTCAATGTCTCTCTCAATGCAGTAAGGCTACGTTTGATGGATGGTTAGGGTGTGGTAAGCTCCCTTACCTACCCTATCTGGGATTTTAATTTAATGGAGTATGGAAACCCACTCCTTGTCATGCGACTGGTTGCCTCTGGTGACCATAGTTGGTGTGGTCACATGACAAACACTTATTGTGCTTAGCTAATCACTTGTTGGCAGTGCAATTTGTGAGCTTTGAGCATCTCTCAGTGCAATGGCCATTTTTGTTTTGTTTTGTTTTCTTTTATTAGATTAATTTTTTGTTTGAAAAATGAAATTGTAATATTTTATAACTATTTGAACACAAAGAATTTTTGAAATTTTATATCAGTATATTTTGAATGCACTAATTTTAAATTATTAGTTCAATTATTATGGTTTATTGAAAACCTATCCGACCTCTTATTCAAACTATTCTGTGCTTACCCTACCCTCCACTATCCTAATCAACAACTGTACTTTATTATCATGCGAAGTAAACTCCATGGGCATAAGATTGTTGCCGTTGCTACATTAACTTGAACTTCCTTCCCTTTGAATTTGTGGTTGCATGATCAAATATTTCAACGGTCTTGTAATAGATGGTGATCTGTTACAATGTGATTCCAATCAGAAAAGTTATATAATGATTTTCATGTAAATGTTAGAGAAAGTGCAGTTGCATCTTAAGAAATTCTATAAAATAGTTCGAAATTTGTTTTCTTTATCAATATAACTGATTTTCGTGTTTACATTGCAAAGTTTAACCTGGTTGTTTAGTGTAGTGATTTTACTGACTGTGTCCTACTACTTCAGCATTAATTTCCTGTCTTGCTATTAGATGCAGTGAGATTTTATCTTATGGAAATGTTCTGAATGAGAAGCACTGGGGACTTAAATGAAATCATCTAATTTTCAGGATGAACTAAGGGATGCTGTCTCTTGTATTTGCCAATAAGCAAGATCTTCCCAATGCAATGAACGCTGCAGAAATAACTGACAAGCTTGGTCTTCATTCTCTCCGCCAACGCCACTGGTAGAGTCACCTTTCCTTTCCCCTCTAGTGTAGAACAGATGTAGACATTTTCTTTTTTATTGAATTTCTTTTTGAAATTCCTGAGTTATACATTTATGCCTTGATAAGACCATTCACTATCCCTTGAAGCTCAATATTTCCCTTGGATGAACTACCAGAAGAAAAGAACTTATTTCATGGTAGTCTCATTAGACCTTTTATCTTTCTTGATATATTCAAATAATAGGTAGGGACAAACTGAAACATTATGGAGCTACAAAGACAGTAATTTTGTCATTAACACCACATGAAAACATTTTCCCTAGAGTAACTCTTAATATGAATAACAAAAACTTTTGTATAGCCATTTCTGGACATTCAATGGACGTTATCGATAGAATAATTCAGAGTTGAACCTAAAATAAGAAATTGAAAGATTTTGTTGAAATTGTTCATTTGGAATTTCCTGGAAAGCTATGATCATGGAAATTCGATGATCTATCTATTTTGCTATTCTCTTATATTCTAGAGGAGTATCTATAGCTGATTTACATAAGTTTGAATTATTGGAGTGGTGTGCATTTGAAAAAAGATAAATTTAGTACTCAGTGCTCCCTAGGTCATAGTTTTTGTCGGTACTTGGTGTGGGTCTAGGTACATGGTTTTGTCATTTTCGTTGGTCGGTGGCACTAAAGAGTAGGTTTATATGGTTCATTACTTTAGTACTGAAGGGTAGGTTTATACTATTGACTTTTAGTTTATGGTATCCCCTTATTGAAGTGTTTTTTAGGAGTCTATATTTACACTGTTTTTTGAGATAATAGGAGTCTATCTGTATCTGTATGCATTGTTATATGTGAAAAATATATCAACCCAATCATATAGGCCATATCTAAAATCTCAAAAAGTGGTTTAACAATAACAAAACCTTAAATATCCAACACATGGATTCTAGATATTATAGTATGGGTTTTCAACACATATATCAAGGATTATAAATCTTTAAGTTTCACGGACTATTGTGATTTCTGTCCCCGCAAGAATTAGAGTCTGGTGTTACTCTTTGTGCAAACTGGATTGTAGATAAACTGCAGCGTAGTGTTGCAGTCCTGGGAGCACTGTTTATTATCCTTTTATTAAAATTACTAGGGTGGAGATGATGGGACTGTAGCCTCTAAGAAAGTAAAGCGGAGTTGAAACCTAAACAAAGTGCAATGTCTTTCTGCTGAATTATATAGTTTAAATTATCATATTGTACCCCTTAAACAATGGATGGTATGTCAAGAAGTCAAAAGGGTCACATGGTGTTGGTCTTTGAAAGAAGATTAATTCTTAAAAAAAACCTTTCATGGGTGTATTAAGTGGAGGGTTGGAGTAGATGAAGGTGTGAGGTTCTGGAAAGACAAACGGACCGATGGCAAGGCCCTTTTTATGGTGTACCCTATCCTTTTGCTAGTGCACAGAACAAAAAATATTTCTGTGAAGGATGCATTTGTGGGGATCAATGGGGAGAGCAATTGGTCTATTTATTTGTCAAGGAACCTAAATAATTGGGAGATGGATGAATATTGAATCTCCTCGACTTCCTTGCTCGTGCATGTCTTTGGAGGGGCGGAGATGAGCCTGGTTGCAGTCTGTGTTGGAATGGCCGGTTCTTTGTCAAATCCTTGTACATACTTTTAACTAAGAAAGGTGGGGATAGTGTGA